CGCTGCACACTCAGGGCGATCAATTGGCCGCGCAAGCACTGTGGATAACCATTTTGCGTTTCACTGGCGACATGCAGGAGCCCAAATATCATACCATGGATCGCATGGACACCACGTCAGTCATGTCCAAGGTGACGGCGACGCTCGGTCGGAACTTTATACGCAGCAAGGTGAGTGGGTGTTGGAATGGAATGCAGAGATTTGCCAATTGATATTAATAAAATGTTGCTCAATTCCAGGAATTCCAGGAAGCCCAACTGATGGGCCTCGATCCGGAGGCATTTCTGAAACAAAAGCCGCGCTCGATACGCCACAAGCTCGTCTCGCTGACCTTGAAGCGCAAAAATAAATTGGGCGAGGATGTGCGTCGACGGCTGCAGGATGATGAATACACGGCCGATAGCTATCAGTCGTGGCTGCAATCGCGTCCCACATCGAATCTGGAGAAGCTGCACTTCATCATCGGCCATGGCATATTGCGTGCTGAGTTGCGCGACGAAATCTATTGCCAGATATGCAAGCAATTGACCAACAATCCATTGAAGTCGTCGCATGCACGCGGCTGGATATTGTTGTCGTTGTGCGTCGGCTGCTTTGCGCCCTCGGAGAAGTTTGTCAACTACTTGCGGGCGTTCATTAGGGAGGGGCCACCCGGCTATGCGCCGTACTGTGAGGAGCGCCTGAAGCGCACCTTTAATAATGGCACGCGAAATCAGCCGCCGTCATGGCTGGAGCTGCAGGCGACCAAATCGAAGAAGCCCATCATGCTGCCCATCACGTTTATGGATGGCAATACGAAGACATTGCTAGCCGATTCGGCGACGACAGCGCGCGAGCTGTGCAACCAGCTGTCGGAGAAGATCACGCTCAAGGATCAATTCGGCTTCTCGCTCTATATTGCGCTGTTCGACAAGGTCAGCTCGTTGGGCAGCGGCGGTGATCATGTGATGGACGCCATATCACAGTGCGAGCAATATGCCAAGGAACAGGGCGCCCAGGAGCGCAATGCACCGTGGCGTCTATTCTTCCGCAAGGAGATCTTTGCGCCGTGGCACGAGCCAACCACCGATCAGGTGGCCACAAATCTCATTTACCAGCAGGTGGTGCGCGGTGTTAAGTTCGGCGAATACCGTTGCGACAAGGAGGAGGATCTGGCCATGATAGCTGCCCAACAGTATTTCATCGAATATGGCACAGACATGTCCATGGAGCGACTCTTCACGCTGCTGCCCAATTTCATACCCGACTTTTGTCTCAGCGGCGTGGACAAGGCCATCGAACGTTGGGCGGCCCTTGTGCTGCAGGCCTATAAGAAATCCTACTATGTGAAGGATAAGATAGCGCCGCTCAAGATTAAGGAAGATATTGTTAGCTATGCTAAATACAAATGGCCGTTGCTCTTCTCACGCTTCTATGAAGCGTATCGCAATTCCGGACCAAATTTACCCAAAAATGATGTCATCATAGCGGTCAACTGGACGGGCGTCTATGTCGTCGATGATCAGGAGCAGGTGCTGCTCGAGCTAAGCTTCCCGGAGATCACAGCGGTGGCCAGCCAGAAGACAAACAAGGTGTTCACCCAGACCTTCAGCCTGTCAACAGTGCGCGGCGAGGAGTTCACATTCCAGAGTCCCAATGCTGAGGATATACGTGACCTTGTCGTCTACTTTTTGGATGGTCTCAAGAAGCGGTACGAAGGGAGTCATCTCTATTCTCAATTCCCCTTTAAATAATCTAAATTTTCCTCTCTTTTGCAGCTCCAAATATGTGATTGCGTTGCAGGATTATCGTGCACCATCGGACAGCACCAGTTTCTTGTCGTTCTTCAAAGGCGATCTGATCATCCTGGAGGACGAGTCGTGCGGCGAGTCCGTGCTAAACAATGGCTGGTGCATCGGCCGCTGTGATCGCACACAGGAACGCGGCGATTTTCCAGCCGAAACGGTGTATGTGCTGCCCACGCTGAGCAAGCCGCCGCAGGATATATTGGCCTTGTTCAACATCGAGGAGGCGCATCATGGCCGGCGTCTAAGCATGGTATCGAACGGTGGCGTCGTAGAACCACGCGATCGTCCGCACACGCTCATGGAATATGCCCTCGATCATTTCCGCTTGCCACCCAAGCGAACAATGTCGAAGACTTTGACGCTCAGCTCGAAGCGCAGCGAAGAACTGTGGCGCTATGCCAGGGATCCGATTAAGGCGCCACTCTTACGCAAACTGCAGAGCAAAGAGGAACTTGTGGAGGAGGCATGCTTCGCCTTTGCTGCCATACTCAAATACATGGGCGATTTGCCATCGAAACGGCCGCGCATGGGCAACGAAATCACCGATCACATATTCGACGGTCCGCTCAAGCATGAGATATTGCGCGACGAGATCTATTGCCAGCTGATGAAGCAGCTGACGGACAATCGCAATCGCATGTCCGAGGAGCGTGGCTGGGAGCTGATGTGGCTCGCAACTGGTCTCTTTGCCTGCTCGCAGGGATTGCTCAAGGAGCTGCTGCTATTTCTGCGCACACGCCGTCATCCCATCTCACAGGACTCGATGCATCGATTGCAGAAGACCATACGACACGGACAGCGCAAGTATCCGCCGCATCAGGTGGAGGTGGAGGCCATACAGCATAAGACAACGCAAATCTTTCACAAGGTCTATTTCCCGGATGACACCGATGAGGCATTCGAAGTGGACTCGTCCACGCGCGCCAAGGACTTTTGCAACAATATCTCGCAACGCTTATCGTTGCGCACCAGCGAAGGCTTCTCGCTGTTCGTGAAAATTGCCGATAAGGTGATTTCGGTGCCCGAGGGTGATTTCTTTTTCGATTTCGTTCGCCATCTGACCGACTGGATAAAGAAGGCGCGACCAATACGCGATGGCGCCAATCCACAGTTCACCTATCAGGTGTTCTTCATGAAGAAATTATGGACGAACACGGTGCCAGGCAAGGATCGCAATGCTGATCTAATCTTTCACTATCACCAGGAGCTGCCGAAACTCTTGCGCGGCTATCATAAATGCTCACGCGAGGAGGCCTCCAAGCTGGCCGCGCTTGTCTTTCGTGTTCGCTTCGGTGAAAACAAGCAGGAGCTGCAGGCCATACCGTAAGTGCTTAGCCAGTATCCCTTATCCAGCACATGTATTCAAAATGGTAAACTCTTCCTACCAGACAAATGCTACGTGAATTGATACCCTCTGATATTATGAAGATGCAGAGCACTAGCGAATGGAAACGTTCCATTGTTGCCTCGTACAATCAGGATGGGGGCATGAGCTCTGAGGATGCCAAAGTTGCATTCCTTAAGATCGTATACAGGTAGGTCTCCATATGCGCGAACGTGTAGATCGAATTTGCTTTTTCAACTTATCGTTTAAAATCTTATTTATTTAGATGGCCCACCTTCGGCTCCGCATTCTTTGAGGTAAAGCAAACCACCGAGCCAAACTATCCCGAAATGTTGCTCATTGCCATTAACAAGCACGGCGTGAGTCTCATACATCCAGTAACGAAGGTATGAGGTTACAGATTGATCCTTTATTATGGTATATTTCATATTGTTGTCTACTTTTGCAGGATATACTGGTCACACATCCATTTACACGCATCTCGAACTGGTCATCGGGTAATACATATTTCCATATGACAATTGGGAATTTGGTTCGTGGCTCCAAACTGCTTTGCGAGACATCGTTGGGCTATAAAATGGACGATCTTTTAACATCGTATATATCATTGATGCTGACCAATATGAACAAAAATCGAACTATACGAGCCAACTAGTAAAGACATATATATAAAAACAAAAAAAAAAAAAAAAAACCACACACACACATATATATTTATAATAATTATAAATTATAAATGCAATAATTGATATAACTAGAAATTATAGTTAATTACCTATTGTTCATTCCCACTCCTCAATACACATTCGATTTTCTTTTTGGCTATTTTAGCTGTTAATTCTTATACCAAACCCTGTTTCATATTATTATGCATTTCTTTTGTAAAAATATGCAAACTCTTGTTTTTAGTATCTATCTTATGCCACCACATTCCGTTTACTTAACTTATTAATTAAACATATCAAATAGAAGGTCTTGCAAGTTCTTTTTATAGATAAGCTATTGTATCTAAACATTTTGTACTCTATCTAACTGTATGTACATCTCAACTGCATATCTGTACTGATGACGTTTTGTATCAAATACATAGAAATGTTCAATTACTTAATAAATTATATAAATATATATATACATATAAAAATACAATTTTAGTTTTTTTTTTTTCAAATTTGCAATTTTTAATTTGTTTTTAAGATTATAAAAAAGTGTAATAATAATTCAAATAGAAATAACCATCATTTATTTCTAATATTAATGCAATATATATAGATATATAATACTTACAAAGATATTATACTATTTACTGTCGCTTAAAGCAGCTGCTGCTAACGTCTGCGCCGTCGCCCATCGACTGCGTAACTCGTTTGCTAGACTGTTACGTTATGTCTCGGCGCGTCGTAGCGTGTTTTTCCACCAGTACGCAACGATTGCTAGCTAGCTGTGTAGGTTTGTGTCTTCAATAAATTCACAGTCAATTGAAACTTGGCTGCAATATTAATATTTGTTTGCTGTCGATAAGATTTTCAAATAACAAATTCAAAATATACGAGTATATAATATATCAGGTGACAACATGGATGACCCCATAGAGGACATTTTTCAAGACTAATTCAAGAATCAACTGCGCCTTGTTCGTCTGTCGTTTATCTCGGCAATCATTAGAGCTATAGACTTGAGATCAAGCATATTTAACTGAACAATGATTTTTCTTGTTTGAGCATATGTCATACAAAGAATCACTAATTTGTCATTTAGCTTATCGAGTAATATATAAAATTGGAATTTATTTCATAATTAGTTTAAAAGAAGTATTTTATACATCATTGTAAATATATAAGTATTGTAAATATATAAAAATAATGGTTATCTTAGGGTCGCATTATAATATTAAGACATGGAATGTCTGTAAGCTGAATTTCTTTGACTGTGGGTCGATTCTTCGGTTCCTGATCCCAACAATTTTCGATCACAAATCGAAATTTCTCACAATTCGGTATTATATCAAATAATATTGGTCGTTCATCCTTGGTCGGTAAGTACATCTTTGCAATTGTATTTGGATCCGACAAGTGATGAAATGGTTTCCTGCGCGCCATCACCTCCCATAGAACAATCCCGAAGCTATAAATGTCGCACTTTTCCGTATACGTATTTCCTAAGAGAACCTGTGTATGTATGAAGGTATAAATTTTGTATTTGTATGCAAGATTTGGATTAACACAACCTTTGGGGCTATATAGCCGGCAGTGCCAGACATATCTGTCATCATAGTTCCTAGATCCGTCGCATTGCCGAAATCTCCAATTTTCAAATTCCTGTAATTTTTGGTTAGGAGTAGATTGGCAGTCTTTAGGTCACGATGAATCAGTATTGGTTCCATGGAATGCATGTGGTTAATACCCTATAAACGGCAGTAGAGGTTAAGCCATGATATTATTAGTTTAATGAATGAGAATTAACCTGGATACACTGAATCATCCAGTCTATAGCCATTGCCATGGTATACTCCCTTTGCTCGCTGCCGTGCAAGAACTCAAAGAGGGATCCACACTCTGCGTAAGCCATGACTAAGTATACGAAGTCCTTGTCAAAGCAACTTCCATATAGCCGTACAATATTCTCATGGTTAGTGCGGGACATTTGTTTAACCTCCTTTTTGAACGTCTCATTTTTTTTGCATTCTTTGACAGCGACGACATTTTGATGCCATATTGCCTTATAGACTCTGCCAAAGCCGCCATGTCCAATTTCCTACAGAATAAAATATTAATCGTAATTAAAAAATATACATACCGATTAATTTTCCTTATTAATATTAACCATTATACCACTAACCATACAATACATAGAGTAGACATACATGTACAACATTTTTTAAAGCCGAAAAAATTAAATGAAGAGACCATTCAACTTCGTATTCGCTCGGCTCGGTATCTTGAGGCTCGAGCAGGAGCACTGAAAGGATGCAAAATCTTAGCGATTTCATTATTATTTGTGGGAAGGGTATGAAAGCTTTTGGGGCGCATAAAGCATAAGATTAAGCGACGAGCAAGCACACACACTTTTGGAGTTCCTTGCTACATGTATGAGGTTTTAGGTGCCTCTGTGCCTGTATTAACTATTATACGCTGTAGATCAATAATTCTACCTCGCCTATCCTAAGATCATCAAAGTCTACTTCTCCGACATTAACCTTCAATGATTTATTGAGTTCTTCAATTTCATCTGGCGTGCTGTAATCAATTGGAAGCAGACCATAATGCATGAATGTGTATTGATTTAGATGAGCAATGAAATACCTCTACTGCGTGAAAGATCCATTTGAGTGCAGGAAAAGATTCACTTTTGTCATCGTCATGCAGCAATTGTTGTCTATAATCTGCGTATTCCACTAGTATGTGATCATTATCAAGTTCAACATATTTGATAACTTTATTTTGAATTATATTAAGTATAAATCGAATTTGACTTATATCCAATTCAAATTTATTGATTACACAAATGTATCGATTTTGAGGGCATTTGTATTTATCGTATGACATCAGCATGTCTACCAACTGTAAGATTTCTCATAAAAATGAAGCTGTATTTTAAAGTCAATTGAAATTTACCTCTTTGTCCGAACAACTTTGCGTTAAATTTTTCATTTGGGCTATGGGCTTTCCTTTACAGTAATCCAATAGTCAGTAATATAAAAAGATAGAGGACGAGCAAAACTTAACTTTCCTTAAGTTAACTAACTAACTAACTAGAGGACGACCAAAACTAAACTTTCAGAGATGACCAGTTGCCCCGCACTGCCGCTCTTTCGAGTGCTCATTATAATCTTATCGCTCAAGCCGCAAAAAGCTGTGCACTGTGCAGTAGTTTTCTAACTTTTTGCCACAAGATTGTGTTTTCATATCAAATTGAGTAAGCATGGTAAGCGACAGCGTAGCGGAGAACAGTGGGTGAGCGTGAATAATAGTTATTACCAAATAGCGAGCTTATGAAACTAATAAAGTCGTCAGATTAAAGAGATTGCCCAAAAGTGAACTCCTGTGTGTTTTCCTTTTTATTTAACAACTAATAACTAACTAACAGTGTTGGTGGACCCCTTTCCTCCCCCTTCCATCGTATGTTTCGTTGTTTGGCCGAGGCACATCCCGGCACTAAATAACCAGAGTAGAGAACGCGGCTATGCCCGTTCGCTGAGAGGCCAAACCCTCAGCACTGTTCCCCCATCGTCCCCTACACCCCCCCTCTCCAGATTCCGGTCCCAGCAAATCACAAATATTCTTGTGATATCCACCCTGGGCAGACTGACGCTGCCCCAGCTGAAAATTGGAACCTCACATTTTATTGCGATTTAACAGTATTAACAATATTGCGCGCGCGACCATGGCAAGGAAAGCAATTCAAAAGTCCAAGTCCCTACATTTTTTTATTTCCTCCCGAATACTTAAAGTACACCTCTCACCCTAAACTATGTAGAGTCTTAAGAATTTCCCCACTGAATTGGGTGAATATTCTCAACACTTGCAATGTTCTTTGAATAGAATAACTCTAGTATTGGAACGATACTATTTTTGTTTACTCGCAAAATATATACATATGCAAGAAAACGAATCAACATTTTTCACTATTTGAAAATTTGCAGGCAACCTATTAATTAAAACATATTTAGTTAACACATAAATTTTTGTACTACACGTTATCAAATGAGTTGCATACATTCTTTTTAATTGCCTTATAAGCTCTGTTAGAGAATTTTCATGTTATTTACATAGAATCAAGAAGTTCGTTATTATTGCTTACAATAAGTTATATTGAATAAAATATAAATCATATTTTAGTTTTGTTGATTCCACTCTATTATCGATTGGTTCATTCATAGAAAATTGACGTAATTAACTATATAGTTTTAATTCAACTGCAATGACAAACACTTCTACATACGATTAATCGCTACAAATTATGATAAATTGATCAGTAAAGAATAAAACGGAAAAAAAACAGAATTTCCGCTGCCCGCTGTTTTGGAATTTTTCCCGCAATTGGATTTTTAAGAAAGCCAGATTTGACGGGAAAAAAATGATTTGGCAACACTGTTAAGAAAGTATACGTTCAATAAATTTGAGAATTGATAAACTTACCGGGTGATAACATTGTAAATTATTTTGAAGAAAATGGATATTTATAATAGGTTAGAGCGAATAAAATGTATAATATATGATATAATATATTCCGTTCAATGCTGTCTCAGCTAGAGCGAGAGCGATGAACGAGTTAAGCTTTTCTAACTTTCAAATACATTTGCTGCCCTATTTGAGAGACTGTCAAAGAAAATAATCGCTTTGCTTCTCTTCATGGAAAACTTTTACAAGGACTCAAAGTCCATTGACAATTTCAATAAAATCAATAATACATAGAAGAAATTTTAACAGCCTTTGCAAGTTTCTTTATCATAATTTATGAACTTGGGTTACGTGCTCTACCCAGTTCATAATTCTGATAAAGAAACTTGCAAAGGCTGCTAAAATTTCTTCTATTATTGATTTTATTGAAGCAAAATGAAATTATATAAATATATATAATATCTTTTAGTAAGTGTATTTATTTATTTGATTTGTTGTTATTGTTTTTTTTTATTAGCATGATTGCATGCAACCCCATTTTGGCTCCCACACAACCGGCTGGCGATTTCCCACGCATTGTGTGTTTAGAATTTTCACAGCGTGTGAAAACCGGCAGCCGGCTTTAAAGTCAAGACTCTGATTTTCCAAGATAATTAGTGCAGTGGAAGCTCCTGGGAACTTTTTTGAAGACGCAATCCCCAGCACCTGCCGCTGTCCCCTGTCGCGGGCCCTACAGCTCGACCGCAGGCCAACGACGCATTCAAATGTCCAACTAGACACAGGGAGCGAGGGAGAGCAAAAATTATGCACTCAAAATGTGAATGTTCATTAAAAATTCAACTAATTTCATATTCAACTTCTTATAAGATGCCGTGCACGGCGTTGGCCTTAAGAAGTTGCAGTTCCAATTACACAACCTGGTGGTGGTGGTTTCTCTTCTCTTTTTCCAACTTGACCCCTTCGGTATATTTTCTCTCTCGCTCTCTCTCTCTCTCTCTCTCATTCTCGCTCTGGTTTCTTGCTCATCTCGCACGCAACAACGCCTCGTCAAGTTTGTCGTTTAAGTCTTCCGTTTGCCATCTACAACGAAAAATTTCCCACCAAACTGGGGGTGAGTTGCATTTGCTGACTGCTTCGCTGATTCTGATAAGAATTGTCTCAGACTCTTGATGTCTCAGTCATAATAATTCTAATTAAAGCCTAGTAAGAGTGCTTGAGTTAGGTGTTTCTCAGCTTTATATTGCTTAAGCAAACATTTATTGGGAGTTACTTAACGGAAGAATGCATTAATTAAATTGATTCTCTGACAATTATAATTTAATTTATATATATATATATATTAATATATTCATAAATAAATAATATTTGAATCAACTACTTCAAAAATAGCAGTACAAAAGAAACTCAACTTAATCAATAAAGCGGCCAAGATTTATGGGAATTTTTGGCAAATGCCGTTTGCAAATAAACTTTTGATGGCCTATTAAGGTTTGCTCAGGTCTGTAGCGTATTCAATGAAAGCTTCAAGTTCGATGTTGTGTGCTGTGATTTGGCAATCCAAAACGGAAGCGCGATAATTAATGCAAAACGACGATTGTTAATTTGTAAATCTGTAAAACAACAATAACAGGTAGTCGGGCAAATAATGCATAAATATTAAGCAAAGATAGTTAAAAACTAGAAAGAAAAAAAAACTAAAACAAAAACAACACAAACCAAAAAGGTTCTCAGCTTATTGTCAACGCCTTTTGGGGCTGTGTGAATATTCTGTTCCTGAAACTTTCAACGCTAACAATGCGGCCTCATATATACATATATATATATGCACACAAACAGATATAAAGATATACATATACATATATATATATGTATATATAAAGCATATATATGTATATATTTCTTGACTTTGCGTTTTTCGTAATGGCCGCTAAAAATTCAAATCGACCAACCAACTGTAATTAAAGTTGAAGAGGCAGCCCACCGTGGGAAGTGCTGCACTTGTTTTGTTTAAGTCGCACACAAAGAAATGTTCACACGACATGGCAACATTTTCCCAAGCCGATTTAAATCGACTATTCGCCTAACCAAGTGTAGAGGGCGGACCTTCCAGGGGGTAAAGTCTTCTAACTCTTTTGCTCTTTCATCATTTTCGGCTTCTGCTAGATAGAGCAGATGAAATGTGTTTAAACATTGCAAATTTTGAACTAATTTTTCAACTGCCATTGTTGATGTTTGTTCGTTTGTTTTTTATATTTATTTAAATTTAGGGTTTCTCTTAGGCTTACAACTTTCATATTTTCAGTTATCTTACAAAATTATATGCTTTGTATATAAATCTATACATATATATTTCTGGTCTAGAGCTGGGCTTATGTTGAGCTTAGCTTAAGTGAATTAAGCGTGAACAATTCTTAAGTGTTTGCGATATCTAGATCTATTATAAACTAAAATGTCGCAAACATTCGGGCACAGCGCATAGGCCCAGCACATACATCTTCTATATATATACTATTTATATATATGTATATTATATAAATGTATATTTAACTAGAGTTACAATTCATCATGTCAGTGAGCTCTTTCGAGTTATGTTATGTACAGTTATGTTTTCGGTATTGTTTTTCAGTATTTCATTTCCTTTAGCATTTACACATACATCTATTGGTACCGGCTAGCACTACAAAAAAATATGTAAATATTGGTCAACTTGAAATAGATTTTCATTCGGTTTGTTCGTTTTGCATTCAGGACAATCAATCGCTTTCTCAGAAAGAATGAAAAAAATAAGCAATACAAATAAATGATAGAGAGATGTGTTGGGTGTTGCTTAAGAACTAGGTAGAAATGTGTGCTAGAAGAGCTTTAAATAACTTGGCATAAATAAATGTAGATGGAATTGCAAATAATAGAAATACTGCCGCACTCAAGACAAGCCGCTCCCATGGCTGTTCCACTGCACCGCCGAGATCGAGGGCAGTGTTTGATGCGTTTGCTGCTGCATGCTCTGCTGTAAGCTGGAGCCGCTGGCTGGTGAATTGCTGCTATTGTTGCTGTTATTGTTATTGTTGTTATTATTATTGCTGTTGCTATTATTATTATTATTGTTATTATTGTTGCTGATGCCTGTGATGTTATTGTTATTGTGACGCGTACGCATAACATCCTCAGCCTGATTACAATGCGAACGCGGCCCCGGCTCCGGCGTATAGGTGAACGTCAGGCCAGTGGCATAAATGATGCCATCATTGCGCACCAGCGATATGGGCACCTGTGTCGGCTGTCGCACCTGTCGAAATATATGTATATATATCGTTTATAGTATATAGAATAGTTTAGGATTTGTATGCCCTTTGCACTCACCCAAAGCCATTCGCCACGAAACTGTGAGATTTCGGGCACCACACAGAGCAACGTTTCTGTGCAGCGATACATGGTCTCCGCCTCGACATCTCCGAACCAGACCTGCAAATGCGGCGTGAAATTGTCGCCACTCAGCTCCAGCATAGCCACATCGCCGCCGCCATTTAAATTCAGTGAATTAACGATTGGCACTGGCGTAACCGGAGATCTAAGCCGATATTGCAAATGAATTACAAAAACTCATCAATCATATGCAATGTGGAAACACTTACGCCACTGGACCCATGCCCTCGTAGAATTGATATTCAGCTTTGTCGGTGGATATGATTGTCCAGCAGGCGCCATCGTTGATCATCTCTTTGTTGGGCTCCTTGGGGCACGGCGTGGCCTGAAACTGTATGATCTTCTCCTGGGACAGGCATAGATACATTCGATCCGTATCCTTCATATAGAAGGCGCACTTATGCAGCTGCGATACCGGATCATCGGCCTCCAGCAGCGCCATCTGTTTGTCCACCTTGCGTATGATTAGACGAGGCAGCGCCATGCCCGTGACAGAGCAGACCAGTTTGACTGTCGCACCATAGTGGATATAGCCGTCGCGCACTTGAAACTCCTCCGACTCGGACTCATTGTCGTCGAGCAGATGTATCGTGAAGGCGCCCCATTGCGTCGACGAGGCATGAAAGTGTCCATTCTCCACATGCAGATAGCGCGTGGAGACAGTTTGGGAGCGCAGGCGATTGAAGAGGGCGACATTGGTGCCGCTGGCTATGCACAGATCGGCATTTTTCAATGATTGCTTCTTTTTGGACGGCTTCGAGATGACCTTGATGCGCTTCGAATTGAACACACCAATGTCGTGGCCATTGCCATAGAACATTTTCACCGATAACATGAAGTGTTTGCGCTTATCCGAATCGGATATGAACAGCGTCTTGGCCGCACAATACTGTTTGCCATTGAGATCCAGCTGCTGCATATCCTGATCGCTGCTGCCAATGCCAATGAACGCGCATAGCTGCGCCCCCTGCTCGCCCTCGCCCTGCTGCAGCATCTCCTGGTAGCGTCGCTGCCAGCCACTGCCAAACAGATAAATGCACGGTGGGGGGCAAAAGAAGCGCTTCTCATTGCCATAGGATTTTTGTGCGACCTGTGCGAAAAGCAAAAATTGGATTAAATCAATTAATTACATTAGGTACAATGTAAAAATTATAATTATCATTATAATAATCAGCGCTTCGATTATCGACAGAGACAAATCGTAACAAATTGTAACCGCAGCAATGCAGCTGTTAAATTTGTCGTATAATTAATTTCAATTATTTTATTGTGGCCGCCGTTTGCTTAATTTGGATGCAGTCAACTGTGAAGGATGCGATGCCTGGACGGCGGACGCTGACGCTGACGATGTCGACGCCGACGCCGCTTGAAGATAGCCGCGCTAAACCGCAAAAAAATGCCCAGACTGGAGCACTAATTCGCTGTGGAATGGCAAGTGGAGCTCACGGTAAATATATATGGATATGTATAAATATGTGTACATATGTACATATATTTTATATAAAGCTGCCCTATATCTGTTGTCTAATCTGTGCATGACTAAATTAAAATATATAAAAAATATACACATATCTAAAAAAAAAAAAAAATTCAATTATTACTGTTAATATATTTATAAAATTTATAATTACTAACAATGCTAATTTCTAATCTAATTAAAATTGACTATTAGATTATTATATCTATCACTTTTACTTTTTACTTTTTAGGATTCATTTTAGATAAGAATTATCTGATTTAAATTTTAAGTTAGATTATTGTTGTTTTCCTTATTCAACTGCTATAATTTAGTTTATTATTTTTAAGTTCATGAATAGTATGTTACCTTTTAATTCTAGTATTATTAAAAAAAAAAAAAAAAAATTTTAACTGATTTAGTTTATTTTTATCGGATTTATTTTTTCTTTAATTATAAGCAGTTAATATTGGCTACTTAAAACATTAATACATATTATCTATTTTATTGATTTTATTGATTGATTGAAATTTATAATTTGTAATGATTATTGTCAAATAAAAATTTTGCGCATTGAAAATAATTTAATTGAATTTAATTTTTTTAATAATTTTTTTTTATTTATTTTTTTTTTTTTATATATATATTTTAAGTGAAAATGAATAATTTATTAAAAAAATAGATATAAATAAAAAGTCTACTTGTTCACATTAATCAAGTGTCATATTCATATTTTCATTTCATTCATCAAAGCTATCAAAGCGCAACTGTTCTTACTGTTTACACTCGTGACGTCACACACGCATGCTTATCCTCTCGCGAAAGGCAACCTATTAAAGTTACTAATATATGTTTTGAACCCACCTTGGCATGCAATATGACGATGACCATGTCGTTGCGCTCGCGCATATATTTCTCCATGGCATCGCGCGTCAGCTTCTTTTCCTCAATGTGCGACCGGTATGGACCTGGCACAGCAACCGGCAGCATGGATAGCTGCATCTGTTGTTGTTGTTGCTGCTGTTGTTGCTGTTGTTGCTGCTGCTGCTGCTGTTGTTGATGATGCACTTGTAGCTGCTGTTGCGGCGGCGGCGCACTGCCCAGTCCAAAGTGCGGCATATCCTGGCTGTGGCTGTGCAGCTGACTATGGTCCACGGAGTTGCTATTGCTGCCGGCTGCTGGTACGGCTGCGTTCTCGTAGACAATGGCGGGCGGTGCGGCGGCAACGGCGTTTAAATTAAATTGGCTGTAGCTCTTCATTTAAACACATGCTGATTAAATAGTCAATTTATTTGTATTTCTTTTCGATTATTTTGTAGTTTTTGTTTTAATTCTTATTTTGGCAACTTGTTTAACACTTTGGCACTACTTGCACTTGCACTTGTACTTTGTTTGTGTTCCTGTTTTTATTTTTTCTTGTCCAGGTTGTTGTATCCTGGCACACAGCACACGCAGCAAGCAGCAGCTGTCGCTTCTCACGGTTTCGCTTTCGATGTTGTTGTTGCGGTTTGTTATTTTTTTTTTTGCTTTTGTACTTTAGAATGCCCGCCTGGCCATAATTAACATGTGTTAAGTTAAGAGCGCGACTACGACTATGACTGAAGCTTGTTGCGGCTGGCGGCTGTTTAAACGTGCAACTAAACTCAGGTAACTGATTTATAATAAATAAAAACGAAACCAAACCCCACTAGCAGCAGCTACCAAACAAACTAGGGTTGTTGTTATCGTATCGATATGTTTATCGATGCATATATCGATAGCTGAATACAGCATAAGCGATGGTTTGCAGAATGATCTATCGCCGACCGCAGTTTGTGACGTCAATTTAATTTGACATAATAAATGAATATCGCAGTTATGTCAAAAGGTATTTAAGAATATTAAATATTAATTTAATTTTATTCTACACTAATTTTAATGTTATCTGTGCTCCTTCAAAACTTCCTTTTTTGATTTAAGATGGGTTCGTTTCGTTGTGACTGACAAAATACTTTTTCGAACGAGTTGGCAGTATTAAATCTGTCAGCAGGGCAGTTGGCAGTCTGAGTTCGTTGTGTGCGCTTAAAAATTGTATTTGTATAAAAAGTCAAGAACCAACTACATAACAATGGAACAATTTAAAGGCCTACAAAAATCACTTTACATATGGACGGATAGCGGAGAGTTGGACAAACGCGTACAGGCACTGAAAGAGGCCACCGGCGGCGAGGTGGCTGTTGAGAACGTGCATCGCCTGTCGTTTTGTAAGTGTTAACAATGTTGGGTGTGAGTCAGCATGTTTATAGCCAATTGCATGCATTTTAGCCTCCTACGCCAATTCGAGTTTCGATCTGATTGTAATTGAATGCGCCCAATTGACCGACAATTACGTAAAACTACTGCACATGCTCAAACCGAGCGGCAAACTGCACTTGTTCGCTTACATCGGACCCGCTGCCAATTTGTTGCAGGAAATCAAACTATCAGGCTTCATCAATTGCAGCGAGGATGCTGCGGCCAACACTCTGACAGCCGAGAAACCTGGCTATGAGACCGGCTCATCGGCTCGCCTATCGTTCGCCAAGAAATCACCCAGCATGAATGTGTGGAAGATAAGCGGCGATGATGAGGAGCTAATCGATGAGGAAGAACTGCTCGATGAGGAGGACAAACAAAAGCCAGATCCAGCTGGATTGCGTGTTTGCAGCACCACAGGCAAACGCAAAGCATGCAAGAATTGTTCCTGCGGCTTGGCCGAAGAGCTGGAGGATGAGAAGAAAACAAAAGCAGCAACCGAGAATGCAAAGTCCAGCTGTGGAAATGTACGTACAGTATTTATGTTTGTGTTTATGTCTCCAGTAAAGCAAGCCCTATCAGTGTAGTGGCTCTAGAAAATTATAACTTTTTTGAAATTGGAAACCTAGACAGGCTCATTGTGATTAGGTTACGATACGAGTTGGATTTGCTTTAAGAAATACATTAGTTTTTCGCTCCATTAGACTGTTTGTCTTATGGTCTCATTTTCACGATTATATAACTAAAAGGTGTTCTATTTGCTTCTAATGCTTCCTATATTATTGTGCAAAATAGTTTCTAGAAAGTCGTGACAGGAGAGAAATTGGCGCTTATTTTTGCTTTTGTATATTGTTACTGCTTTCATGCTCTGATCTTTAATCTTTTCATCTTTTGTGTTTGTAATTGAATTGCTATTTGTACGCTATAGCAGAGTAGCTAGAAGCTTTGTTAGTTATTGCATAAATTCTTTGTTTATATTTGGTATTATTTAAATTCTATGCAATTAATTTTAACAATGGATCAGCTTATTATAATTAATTATAATGAGAAAAGTGATCTATGCACAATGTTAGGTAATTAACTAGATGCTAAATAGAGCGGAACGTGCACAGCGCTTCGTATTCGTTTTGATGATTTCTCTATGAAGTCGAAAGCCAAATCGATCAAAGCGAATTTAAAATTAACTTGATTTAGTTTATATTTAAGTTGATCCGAGCTAGGACTATATAGCAAATCAAGCAGCTGTCATTCAATAAACTTATTTCTTTTATCTATTTTTATATCGAAGCTTTTATCAGATTCCTCAGATAACATTGGTTATTTATTATTGTATTTATTATTTTACTTTGTGAACTTAATATCCGTTAAGTCTTTAGCAAATACACTATTTAATAATGTTTTGGTACATATTTCATATGCATATATTATTTATATGTCCGTAAGCAAAATCTAATTTCTAGTTTTTTTTTTTCGTTTTTTTGCAGTGTTATCTGGGCGATGCGTTTAGATGCTCCACTTGCCCCTATCTGGGCATGCCAGCCTTTAAGCCGGGCGAGAAGGTGCAGCTGGCTGATAATTTGCTGAAATCTGATATTTAGAACTTAGGGCACAGTGCATTCAGATAGACTTGAACACTTTATTAAGTGAAATTTTATATTTAAAAAATACATTTCAAAAAGAAATATAGAAGAATATTTATATAGATTATATTATATATTAATATTAGAGTTCACATGGTGTACCCTTGATAAGATCAGCCGTCTTGCCCGTCATTATACGATAATTGACTTCATTGTGATCCAACTCTTTGTACAGATAGGTGGGCATGCGATCGGATAGCACCCAGAGGTTGCCAGTGTTGTCCACCTTCAGGTCGTTGGGAAAGACCAAAGTATGCGAATCGGACTCGATTAGTCCCTGCGTGTCGGTCGTATATGGACGCTTCACATTCCAGCAGGCGATGGCATCTTTGTTCACCTGCGTGTAGAAGAGTACGCCCGTCTCCTTATCATACGATTCGGCTGTCGATTGTCCGTTCATGCCGCGATCACCGATCAGCTTGAAATCATAATACGAATCGCCGCCATTCACATGACTTTCGTTTTGGAGCACACGATTGGAGACCTTGAACTCCTTGGTGCTAGCCAGGGCATGGAAATACACGTCCTTGGTATGATCCGGATTCAAGGGCCCAATGGCCATGCCGAAGACGCCATCGGTCCATTGGAAGTTGACGCCGGCCACATTGAAATCGCCCTGCAGCGGATCAAAGTGGAAGTAATTGTGCTTCACTCGATACGATTTGTCATCCCTGAGCGAATAGACAATAACGCCGTATGCGCCCAAATCTGGAACATAGGCATACGCATCCTCGCACTGCTCACGGTCCACGTCCACAATCTAGAACAAAGAATATCAAAGTTATTATTTAAGTAAAGGTCTAGCCTGAGTTGGCTTACAATATTGGCAAAGAATGTGTCCTCCTTGCTCTGATCGGCGGGTATGGCAAAGCGACGCAGCAGCTGATCTGTCTTCAGATCGAATACCAATATCGAGCTGGGTGTAATTTGCTTGGGATTGCCCAAGATATCGGCCAGGCCAGTGTCCAGCACCCAGAGGCGATCGCAGACATCAACGCTTATGCGGAAAGTGGAAATGATTGTTGCATTGTTCTGCAATTGAACGCCAACATCCTGCGCCTTTTCCGCATCCAAACGTCCGCCAGATGGCGTCTTCTGCTCTTGTGGCTGCACATCGATGGGCAACTTATTGGCCTCCCAGCTGGGATAGGGACGTAGCTTTGGTGATTTCTCGGTTGTCGAGAGATCAATGTAGTTTAAGGTGGCTGCAACACCGGCCTTCCATCTGCGCGACAGAGCAAGGAAGAGAAAAAGAGAAAGAGACAGAGAGATATTATGAATCAGTTAAATTAAAATTCAATTTGCTAACGAATTTCTAGTTGTTTGTTTAATTTAATTTAGTTTTTTTTTATAACTTCCTTTTTGCTAAAATTAACTATGTTGTTATTATAATTATATTTTTATTTTTATAGAAGTCATTTTTCATAGCATATACTAATGAATTCTTTGTTTTGATAGATGTAGGTAAATCACCGAGCTATGATGACGTCACACCAAGTTTGATGAGCAATTTCACATAGACAAATATCAAAATATATATACCCAGGCAGTATATATGTTACCAATTCGTTTCAAACATTTAGCTTAGGCATAAATCAAGTTATTGTCATATTTGCATAACAGTAATCTAAAATGCAAATAGCTGTAAACTAAAAAAGAGCTAAAGACAAAAACAACAGCAAAAAAAGTAACCGGTTTTTGAGTCAATCTCAATTGGTTTTTCGCAATCCCCCGCTTTCAAAATAAAAAATATATACACATATAAAAAAAAGTACACAGTGTGCTTAATAGCCGCAAATTTTTTTTGGTTATATTTTTTGTTTGGTCACCTACCTTGGCACAGTGACAAAGATTTTGTTTTCCCAGCGCTCCACGCCAAGTGGCAAATTGTTCTCTGCAATGTAGTGGCCGCTCTGCTTGGCCTCCGCCTCGGCCTCGGCGTTGGGCCAATCGAAGGTCAGCTGCTTCCACGAGAACCGTTCCTCCAGCTTGGCATTAACGCCCAGCCAGCTGATAAAGCACAGAGCCAGCAGCCTAAGTGTAAACATGACTTGCCTTTTTTTTTCTTAGCTTTTAGGTTTCGAAAATATTCGATTTGGACTTGAGAATCTTTATCTTAAAATCGCTGAACCACCGTAACGTTTGAGCTGAGCGCGCTTACTGTATTGCTTGAGCGCTGTTCCGAGCTTAATATGCTGAGCGAAAACTGAAAAAGCTTTCGCAAAGCTCTCGCACACACGACATAAATATCTTGCAAGCTTGACGACAGCTGCCGTTGCCGTTGCCGTTGCCTGTCGGACTCTTCAGTGGGTGGGCCAACCAAATTAGCATTGGCGGAAGGGAATAAAGGTATGGTAAAAATAAATGTAATGGAGCGATAAAAGCAAAAATAAGAGTGAAATATCTGTAAGCCAACTGCACTGATTTGTAATGCAACTGGTTGTTAATTCATATCGGGTCAGAAGCTACCGGGCATCGGCTGTTATCGAACTGAATACAATTTTAAACTAGTTTACAGTCGAAACAAGTTCTCAGAGAATTGTGACAATCCAGCTGAACATCTGGAAAACTACGGATAAAAGTAAACGAATAAGCGATTGCGTTGCCTCGCAGCATCAGAGCTAGCCTAGCTATTTCAAACTAAAGAGCCAGGGAAAATTATAAAAAATATAAATTTTTAATTTTAGCTGAAACAAAGCTAACTTTATCTGCAGCTTTAACTTGAATGGTATTCGCTTCCTCCCCGCCTCTTGAATTATTAAATTCAGCGTATTTAAATTATTAAAAAAAAAAAAAAAAAAACATTATAATATTTCTTCAAACACGATAAGTTATTAATAAATAAAGCAAATAATTATCATACCTGTTGGCACGACCGCTGATTGCATAACTTAATAAATTAACTGAAAGGATTAATGCACGTTCAAAGTAAATATAAATTGTATATAAATTCTGTTTAAAATCAAATATTTTTGTTAATATTTTCATAAAAAGAAAAAAGATTTTGATAGATCATCCAATTTGTCAGTCAATGGAAATATTTTTTTCATTCTGTTTTTTGTTTGTTTATTCAGTAAAATTCTCATATTCCGTTAATAAGACTTTAAATTAATTCGTTAATGTTACTTTCATAAGAACATACCGAGTTTTCTTTGCTTCATATTGCTACAATTGTAATTTTCTTTATCTTATTTTTTTTTTTATTTTCTTTAATTTATTTGAAATTTTGGATTATTTTTGTTTTTCTTTTTTTTTTTACAACGATTAGCTTTGCTAAAGTTAGTTATTAACTTTTTTATCTGTGTGTTTTTGAGACGGAAAAGCAAAGAACTGAACATGAAATTTTTAACATTTGAGATTTTTTTGTTGAGTAAAACTTGCATTTGTCGCTTAGTTTTCTGGTTGTGGTTTTTGTTTCGCTTAATACGCTATATACAATATACATATTTTATTTTACGACTACCCTAACACCATTCCCTATATGTATGTAAATGAATTATAATCAATTAAACTACAAATTCCAACGATCCTTAACAATTAAATGTCCTTATTTAATAAAATTTTTTTTTTTTTGACTATCGACGATGTCATTTTTGCAAGGTGAAAATTACTCTTACTCATGGTAAATCATGAATGTTTGCATTAGTATATATTTACTATATGTGTATGTGTGTGTATAGTGTTATTTCATTAACGGCTTAGATTTTAAAGTCTTTCATTTCGTAGGAATTTGATGTTGTCTATGTGATGGCTTTTTTTTTTTTTTAATTTTTTATAGCACTTCTTGTGATGGATTAGAGTGATTGCATTTAAAAAAGGTTCCATTTAATTTTATTTTTATATGTATATATAATATATTTCTATTTTTTGAGAATTTTCTTCAATAGTTTTCAGTTTTCGTTTGCTTTACGATTTTATATAATGTCAATTCCTATTTTAATAACGACGCACTCATATATTTTCCAATTTATTTGCTTTCTGTATATGCATACATATATATATGTATATATTTATATTTATATACACATATAGTCATATATGTATATACTTTGTATAAATGCAATTTTAGAACTTACAGTATGTTCGAAAATTTTCCTTTTTGCTTTTTAGATTGCCCCAATCATAATTTCTCTATGTAAATAAAACTAAATACAATTGAAAATGTTGCTTGAGCACATAAACCCGCCCCCAGACATATATTTATCTATATAAATATATGCTGATACTACACTAGATTAGACTATATTTTTAATGATCTAAGATTTGCTATGCTCTTTTTACTTTTGTGCTACTTACGACTCAGACAGAAAATTTAAGCTATTTTAAAAACATTTTACTTCGCGTGCAATAATAATTAACAGTACAAGAATTCTTTTGGACAGGCCCCCAAAATAAAGGAAACAACGAAAAATATTTATACACACACGTACACACACCAGCTCTATACAATAAATACTAACACTAACTTACGACTACGAGTTTCATAGGCCAAAACTTTGTGATAGTATTTGGGTACTGGAGTCTATAGGAGTCCAGGACTGTAAGTCCTTCACACAAACATAAAATAATGAAATATGGGAAAAGGCCGCCTTGGGAAAATCCAATGCATGTTCTATGTATGTATATGTGTGTGTGCATGGGTGTATGTGTGCATGTGGACGTGTGTGTTTGTAGCTCTAGGAGACAGTGCACTGAGCAAAAAAGGTTCATGGGGTAAATTACTCGTTATACAAGAAACATATGTACTAACACAACAATTTGTTTTCATTTAAAAATTACATTAACTTTAACATGATTTCGCTTAGAATTATTTTGCATTTGTTTTGTTTTATTTTTCTTTCTAGTTAAATGACTTGACTATGTTTGTGGTTTGTGTTCAACTTTAAAGCCTAACAATTTTGCTTAGTTCACATTCTAATGTCGTTAATTAATTAATTGTTGTAATTTAGAAGTATATTTCGATTTAAGTACTTGCTAAACACGTTTAAGGTACAATACATATTTCAATTATTCTACAAAATTGCTGCTACCAATTCTCTGAATATATATTTATGTATACATATATATATTTAGCTCAGCTTAAAGTTGATACAAAGTTCATTAAGTTACATACACATATATTAAGTTATCATTTAGCTTCCTCAATTTTTCATTTGTATAATTCACCTATCACGCAAAGGAAATTGACAAGTTTTTTCATGTACGGTGCTCATGAGTATCTGTAAGAGAGAAAGAGATTTATTAATTATAAATATATGCTCATTACATTTTTAATGGACACTTTAAATAATAACGATTGCGATAGCGAGCGATGTTACACAACGATATATCGATAGCTTCTAAAGCGAGAGCTTTTAACAGTGCACAGTGAGTGGCAAAGAGACGATCACTGGTGTTTCACACGATTGTGTCTTTTAACAGTGGGCGCTTTAGCAGTGTCATGTTAGCTTGCCGCTCTGTTAAGCAACAAGCACCGTTATTTGTTAAAAAGTGTGAGTTTCAGTTTTTCGCAAAAAATAATAGTAAATCTGCAATAAATTTCCAACATTTAAATGCACCAATTGGTAGTTGGGTGAGTTTGTGCTTAATACAAATAAATGGAAATAACCTGTCAATTCCAATTGCTAAATATTCAATCGATTTTCTCAATGCCCGCAAAAATGGCCAAAATTTCTAATGTAGAAAGTAATGAAAACATATGTATTTAAAGCCACTACTGCTACAGATGCAGCTAGTTAGATTTTTAATTGTTCACTCACCTTGTGTGATTGCGAGTGTGGCTGCGGGCGTGGGATGCGCTGAGGCAGCTGTGCTGATGATGTTTGTAGCCAGTGGCTGGATTGCCAGCGAGGTTGTTGCTGTGCCGCCATTGCCGTTACCGTTACCGTTACCATTGGCACCGCCAGCTCCGATTCCGGGACCAGATGCCCCATTCAGTTCTGTGCCCTTCGTATTCACGTCCCGCTCGACAAGCCGTTGCCGTAATACTCGTATCTTTTCCTCTTTCTGAATATAGAAATAGTATGGGAATTATTATTTCTAAAAATTGCTGTATTTTTACCTGTGTTATCAATCGTTGTAGTTCCTCGTTTTCGGTTACTAGTTTTTGATAGCGTTCCTCATCCTCTTTGGATATGGCCGAGTCTGGATTATACTTGGATTCGGCTTTATCTTTTGGATGTCGTATGACCTCAATGACCTGAAAATTAATATATACATGCAATAAAGCGTGAATTTCTAATTATTCTACATGCTTATCCCGCAATACCTTTGGCACAAATATCAGCAGCATGCTTAGGAAACAACAGAATATCACAGCTAGTGCAACAAAGGCGAATGATGCGTCCTGCTGCGATGCAATGACCATGCCAACTGGCGCTGTAATCAGGCAGAGCACGACCACATTATAGATGCTCATGCCCACATAGCGTGAGTCATTTATCTGTTTCACTTTGATCGAACGTGTCTCATAGGCCAAGAACAGACCAAATACCAATATAAGACCCTTAACGCCATAAACAAGTCCTGCAAAAAGTAAGTGGACGATTAATTAAAACGAATTTGAAATAGATATTCAAGTACTTACCTAACCACATAGAATTGCGTTCACTTTCGCAATGCTCAAGCTCTGGACGTATTTTAATATCATCAGTTGTAGATACTGGATCTTCGAGTGGGAATGTTTCAAGTATACGCTGCAGCGGATCAAAGATCTGCCAACACAATAATATTACTAAATCTATTGATAAGAGCCCCGAAACCATGGTGTATAGCTTCCAAGGTTCCACTTTTTTCTGAAGAACAGAAGAATATAATATATGTAAATAATCAGATTTATTAGAATTTGGTTTTTGAATAGCGTTACCTTTGGGTCAGTTTTTGCTTTTGTTGTAAATCGATGCACACGCCAGACTTTGCTGAACATAGCACCGTATGCTAATGTAAAACCGGTGGATAATAGCCAAGCACGAGCTTGACAGATCTGAACAAAGGTATAGAAAATTAGTCTATATATATAAGGGTATATCTATTTCATAGAACACTACCTTAGGATATTCATCCGGACTGACAAAGCGTCCGTCCATGCCCAGTAATATGACTGATATAAGGCAGATGATAACGCCAAATAGCATGATCGTATTGCAAACTGGATGCGAGGATTGTATTACTCTGTAAAGTTGGCAGATATAATACATACTGTAGAATAACACACCTTACACCCATATAAATACCTTCTATGCTTATTCCATATATTAAAGATGATCAGAGCAAAGGCCACAAAGATGCCGCAACAGGAGATGGTGCACATGCAAACAAATAGCGGCAATGAGACCGTTCTTAGGACATGGGTAACAATTGTGCGATCCTGAGGCACCTATAAAAGTCGGAAAGTAAGAAGTTTATACTAAAGTGTGGAGAAAGCAAAGTTGGTCTCAGAATATATTTGGATTTTCATATAATATTTAACATATATCTCATTTTTGTTTTTATAGCCCTTCATGATAATGAATATTTTTGACATTTCCCCGGGTTCTGGGTAGCACAAAAAACGTTACTTGCCCCAAACCGGGCTGATTATTCTTTATATTATTTGCCCAGATTTTGCAAGTAAACTGATGTTTTACATTCAATTTCAAGTTGTTCAATTTGATTGCTATCAAACGATTCATACTAAGTTTGCTAATGTATTCGAGGTCCCTGCCTGTCGTTTTGATACCCTTAAATCTCTTCACACACACATATCTCGCATCAAATGCCGGTCTCGGATGGAATTTAAGTTGCGTGATCGGTTCGGAATCACATGTTAACCAAATATAATTTATTCGCTTCTGCGTCTCGGTTGCATTCCAAACAAAATACATAAGCTTTTCATAATCTTTCGACACAATAGCGGCTGGACTTATGTCTTCTGGCGTCTTATAGGGCTGTGCTGTGAAGCGAAGTAAACGATTCATTTTTATGAATACGCACGGACTTAAGCTGTTGTAGCCAAAATGATACTCCTTCTGGCAAGGTCCAAATCGTCGGATTGCCCCTTGCGAACGACCATGCCTATCCAGAAACTCTTGCAACTGCTGGCGCTTGCGAATTACACTTGTGTAATTCGATAAATCATATTCGATGAGACGATAAGTTTGTTTCGCTCCGATCGGTGCAAAGCTCAAATATGGCTGTCTTATTTTGAGCTCTGGCGCAATCATATTATAATTAAGCACAAATCGACGGAAAATCACGCGGTCGACGTAAATAACGAAAAACATAAAGACCAATACGTAAATCAACGAATAGATCCAAGATTTTGGTCTACGCGAAAAGCACAAATTACGCTTGCCGTCATAAAAGAGCTTTCGTGACAAGTGCTTGGTGTGTGGAAAATGATATTCACAATTGGGATATAGTTTTCGGGGGCTTCCATCAATTTCGTATGATTTGTGTTCCGGCGGCAAACGCACTATACCTCGGTGTTGCAAGCTGTGTTCGCTATCCCCATCGATTGTCCTCGAGACCGTGGAACCGGTAAACATAGAAGGTATTATCGATAAATTTATGTTGGTATCGCTATTACTGCTACTTTCCGTTATTCGATTGTATAAAAATGTCGGTCTTGACGCATCAGAATAACGAGACGACTTGACAGAAGATATCCGAATGCCAATATTTTGAGGTCTCGGATGGGCGATGGGCATAGTTAAAGTATCTGATATTGTTTTGTGTGGGAGTCTTTGAGAGGTTTCATCATCAGATTCTCTAATCGTAGGGCCTATTTTAACGTTAAGTTCTTCAACCGTTTCATCTTCATATTCTTCTTTACCTTTATCTTGATTTTGATCTTTATCTTTGTCTTTATCTTTATCTATGTCTTTTTCTTCGTTATCCATTTCTCAAGTCTCTTGTTTTATGTTTGTTTGTGTTCTAGTTTTAGTTTATTGAATCATAGCCTATTTAGTTTACCTTGCCGCCTATCCATTGCTCCGTATTTAGCCAAGTTAGATTGTCCAGCTGTGTATCGTAATAGCCTAACTTCTCGTATTTTCCATTCACCATCTGCTCGATTTGTGTGAGCGCAATTCGATCGCCCTGAGAGCTGAATGCCACCACGCCCTAACGAAAATCATATAATATTTAGATTTTTATATAGATATTTTAAATTATATATTTAAATAGCTTACAGAAACGCCCAAGAACTGTGTTGAATTCATTGCCGAATATATATCGTCGGCGATTTCCTTGTCTGTATACGTAAAATCTCGCAACGATTTCTTTCTGGTTGTTAAGCGTTCCATTGTCTTGTTGAAGGCCAATGCCACACTCCAGACAGCATCATAGGCCAGCGGTGCCTCCTGATAGCCCTCCGGATAGCGATCGTGATTTATGTCGTAGCCTTCCTCGATTAGCGCATGATTCAGTCGATGTCTAGTTGATATTGAAAAAATGATTAAGAATGTAGTTTGATTTTTATTATTATTAATATTTGAATAGAATTTACCGAAACTCTTCAGCGGTCATGCCCGATATTGTTGTCTGATTGTTTTGATTCCACATTAAAGCCTCGGTTGTCAGATGTCCCTCGGCAGCAATGCGCATTTGCTCCACTGTGCACGTGATGCCCTCATTCTCCAGATTTGCCTCATACCAGTTGTCCTCATACCAGCCTAGATTGAAAATATACTTATTTATTAATTATATATTGAATTGCCTATTCACATGTAGCTGTCAAACTTTACTGGCACTTTGACGTGTTCTAATTAATTATAAATGTTGTTTTTGGATTTATTAACGGAATTACTCGATTATTGGTTTATCGCTATTATACATATGACATTACCTCAATTTGGGTGTCAAGTTTTCAAAAATTTTGCGATAAAATTTGACAAGAGCTTATATATTGGCATGTACTATTGTAATCAATTATATCAATACATATATTATGTTGATGGGAGAATGTTAAGGGCAAGAATTATGACATATTATATATGTATAAAGCTGGAAAGGAGATTTACTTTATTCTGCTCTTAGAAGAGAGAGTAAAAACTCTTTAAAAAGACAAGCTAACTTGATATTAGGTATATATAATTAATTGCGTGTACTCTCAAGTAAATAAGAAGGCTTTCATAGATAACAAAACAGTTATGGAAGCCATTCTCCAATTGTCAAGTAAATCTGAACTGGAATGTAATTGAAAGAAGCTCTCTTACATATGATAAAATGCACGTTGCACGTTTTGAGATTATCCAGTGACATTCACTTTAAATCGTCTATGAATGAAGTGTGAATGCTCATGCTCTCTGGAGTGTATGCTCAGCTTACCTATAAAGAACCAGACATGAGCACGCCCGTAGAGCTGCTGCTTGTACATCTCGCAGAGAACACGTCTTGCTGCCACCACATAGAAGAGGCCCACAATGATGCGGGCATCCTGGCGTCTTAAATTGCGTACGGCGTCTGTTGGATCGGATAGAAATGATTGTCTAGTTACGATTTCGACGCCAGCTTCCATGCAGCGATTCTCAAGATCCTCCACGGTCTAGAAAAGTCAATCAATATCTATATTATTCATCGTTAAATATATGTATATGGGTTTTACTTACCGATATGAATACCTCTTCGGCTTGCTGTAGAATGGCAACGCGTGACCAGCCGAATTTTTTCATCAGTTTGATGCGCGTTGGATTGTGCACCGTGGCCGAGGGATGGGTGCGAAACAGTGTTGGAAAACGTTTGCGATCGGATAAAGCAGGACTTGAAGCGCCATAACAGAGCTAAAGTGCAAGCAGATGTATGTATGTATATATATATATATATATACTACACTACAGTACAGTTTTTATATATGCTATATTCAATTGGCTTACCACAATTAGATTCCACATTTTGGCCGCCTCCGCAACGGTGGTGCAGACAGTGCTGCAGCCCGCCAAGAGCATCAGCTTTTGCGGCTTATTATATAATAGATTGTACATCACACTGGCGCCCAAACCCGGTTCGCACTGCACAAATAAGATAGACAGAACAAGTGAGATAGAGAGGGCGAAAGCAAGGAAGAAAGGGAGAGTGAGAGTGAGCGAGTCAATTACACATGTCTACAAATGGCATTTGGCAAAGGGCATGACCCAGTTTGTCAGCTGCCAACAAACGAGTCAGGCTTCAATGCAAGTTTACATAATGCACGAAATCAAATAAATAAATTTAAAAGTGAAGAATATTCGATGCAGTCTATTGAATATACCTCAAGCCCAGCTGGCGGGCAGGCTCTATGCTAAATTAAATAAAATTGATTGATGTTTCCTTTTTCTATTTCTTTTTCGTCTGTATCTCTTTTTTAACTTAGTTAAATATTTAAAAGCTGCAGAGCTGTGGGAAAATGTCACTTCATAGCTTCACTTGAAGTAATTTTGTAATTCTATCCTTTATTTTTATTTTTTTTAATATGACTGACTTTTCATTTTGAATTTATGAGAATTCGCATTTATTATTTATTTGTTACACACGTAACAGCAATAATTTATTCTGCAAAGAAAATTTACGTACTTCATATGTTTAAATAATTTATTTTAATTTTATTTTTGGTCTTTTGTTGCTGTATATTTGAATATATCAAAGTAAAATATCATGAATAATAGAGAGAAATTATTATCAACGAAAAATATTGTATGAACATAATGATTAAAAGATTAGTTTATTTTATGTTATGTATATATAAATAAAACGACTATTTTCCTTTAAAAATGATTTATAAATAATTTGATAAAACTACTTCTAAAAGCGAGTTAACATACAATATTTACATTAAATAATGATCTATAAAGCTAACAATCAATTTATTTATTTGTGTGAGTATTTTTGTTTAAAGGTAAACATAGATTCGTCTAATTTTATAATTAGCATGTTTGTTAGCTTCTATATATTAATTCGTTAATTTACATTTCAGAATGAGAAATTTAATCCAAGAGCCCTTTATGCGTATACGTGATATTTATGTTGAGCATTCGTTCAGATGAGATATATAAATATTCAAATGTAAAAGTAAAAAGTACGTATAAAAAAAATTTTACGCTTGATGACGTCCCTGGGTCTCTATAAATACCATAGCCCACAAATAATGGCTAACTGTTTTATTCTTGCAAAATCAACGGAAATAATCTTAATCAATCACTCTCGCTCTGAGCAGGAGCCTTGGGTTCCTTCTTTTATCTTCTGTTGAGCGCTTTGAGTTGAGCTATTCGTGTGGCGCTCATTTTGACGAACATCATTTAGAGAGCGATACGATTGATGATCGCTTAATGAGATTCAGTGAGGTATTCACATTCACTGCACAAACGGAACGGGATGAGCTTTCACGCGCGCTACACGCCTATGTATTGGTATGTACCAATACATTCACATTTTTCTTCCTTGAGCTCGGAGAAAACCCAGAAGGTCCGATTACGTGCAAACACGTTGAACAGTTGAAGCAATCGATTGTTCTCTAAACTTTTCTCAGAGAAACAGTCAACAGTTACTTCCGAGGGAATTTCTATTTATGCTAATAGGGATATTTAAATTTTCACAAATTTACGGCTCGTCCCTTTTCGTGATATTCAATCATCAACTCTTTTATTTCGATAATTTGTTGCTGCTCATATTTGGAGTTGAAGCGTGTTTATTTATCTATTCATTAGATAAAATGAATAATTGATGTATTTGGTTGAATAGCCAACTGTTAGAGGTGCTCATAAAGCATGCATACATTTGCATTTGTTGCACGATGACGACGCTGATGATGAAATGATAATGATGATTCATTAAATTCATGCTTTTAATGAATGCTTTTGTTTAACTTGACTTTGCGTGTAAACAACCTTTGTAATTGGTTTGGCTTCGTGTCCAGTCGCATTGTGTTGCCTGCCTTTCCCTTTCTTATTCTCTTTTTTTTTTTTTTTTTTTTTTTATTATTATCCTGTACGTGGCATACCGAGAGCATTTACCAGAGTATATGTTATGTACATATATATATGTGTATGTATATGTGCATATAAATCCGTAGGGCTCACCGCATTATGAGCGCACTTGTTTAATCATTTCGGTGTGTGAGCGCGCGCGTTCCTCGGGACAATTCACACATCAAAGTAGGTCAAGCAAAAGGCAAAGGCAAAGGCATTGCGTGCGACCTTTGCTTGCTTGTCGCCTACGGATGCTAAAGATGATCATCATAATGATGCTGATGATGATAATAATGCTGCTACTGCTGGTAGTGGTGGTGGTGCTACTGCTGCTGCTGTTGGTGGTGATGGCACGTAGATAGCGCAGAGATGCGAACTAATTATGCAGCATTTAACGGAAGCTGTTTGCCAAAGCTGCTGTGACACACAGTCACAGAGTGAGCAAATATATTCATATATATGTATGTATATGTATATATATATATATATATATATATATAGTAAAAGCCCTTTCAGTTGCAATGCCCAGCGAAGCGAAACCAAACTGAACTCAATTCAAGCAGCACTTAACATACTCCCATCTACAAATACATATATATGTATAAAGATATATGCATATATAGTATACATTATATAGTGTATATATAGTCAGGTTTGTCTGCCAGCCTTGAATAAAAATAAAAATAAAAATAAACTCAAACTGAAACTGAAATGATGAGACGAGCGCGCCAAAGTGACCTCATTCAAAACTCAAAACAAGTTTTCGGTAAGCTTTCGCTCACTTAAAACTAATGAGCTACGCCTATAAATAGGCATCCCATGTAGTACAGCCAACAGTGACTGTAACTGTAAATGTAACTGTAACTGCTACTACTATATATATATATATATAGCTAAACATCTGTAACTGTACAAAACTGTGTGTGTCCTTCCATTTCACTTTTACTTTCTCTGCCTCCATTCATAAGCATAAATGCTCGCATTGATAACTTTTCGTGCTAGCCTGCGCGACAACAACCAGCCATTAATTATGACACATGACAGTTATGCGAGTAAATATATTTAACTATATACACACACACAGACTCGAGTATTTTTTTCTGTGTTCTGCAAATCATATTCGCCAATAGTTATTATGGGAATTGAAAAAAAAAAACACACACACAAAATTAAAAAGATAAATTTTTTTTGTAAAAAATACGTTGGTAAAATATTTAATTTCTTATGTATTAAAATAGAAGCCGTATGAACATTAAAATAATTATGCAAATGGTGGAAATTTGATAAATTCATTAAAAAGAATTTTTTATATAAAAACTAATTTATATGCTATTTATTTCTTAAATTAAAGGAAGAAATTGATTATAATAATAATATAAGAATAATTGAAATTTATAAATTAATATGAATGCTTAAGAATATTAAGGTAAATTTTCATCTTGTTTATGAATTAAAGAGAATTTTTTGTTATTATATAAATAAATAAATAAATAAAATGTTTATGTTTTATTTTAAAGCTATTCATTTTAAGCATAAGCATACTAAGCATTAATAACAATTATTTATAATTTATAATAAATAAGTTTTTTAACACACTTTAAAAAACAAAAATGGTATACATATGTTCAAAGAATTTTTCGATGCAGTAAACAATTTTTAAATGTTCCCTTTTTGCTATATTTTACAGTAAAAGTTAAACCACATATACTATAAGTTAAGATATATTTAATTACATTGAATATATGCTAATTCTAGACCAAAACAACCCTCGGAGCTAAACAAAACATAAATGATTTGGAGAGCTTCAACAGCTGCAGAAAGCTACAGTCAGAATACTAAGTCGTACGTATGCATATATCAAATAGATTTGATTAGATGGCCCAAATCGTAGTGCATATTGAATGAATGACAATAAAAGTTGTACGAAATTGCGTTGAAATTGATTTGAAGAACACTTACGTCAAATACCCTTTATGCGCAATATAACAAAAGCATAATAAAACGCTACACTCGGTGTGTGCGTGGCCCCTAGAGAAATATGCTAATGAATGCCACTGCTATCCGCAGCCCCCCCTGGACAAGCGTAGCAGCTCAACCCCTGGCAACGACAATGCGAGGCAAAACGGTCGCAAAAACAAAACGCAAAAACGAAACAAAATAAGTGAGACCCAAGGGGTCGAAACTAGACGCAGCTATACATACCAGGGTATTGGTTGCCAACTTATCATAGTAAATAGCATACATATATATGTATATATATATATATATATATGTGTTTGTATGCGTGTGTATGTGTGGGTATTTGTGTTTGAACTCACCTCGCTGTCATTGCTGTGCAGGATGAGCTTGAAGCCGGGCAGAAGATTTGGCTCCTTGTTGACATCATCCAATGCCAGTCTTGCGGCCGGCATGCACGCCTGCCCACCCTGCCATCCTCCTTTGCCGGCAATTGGAAATATGCCGCCAATATGCAGCTCATCCGGCCTGCCCGCCTCGCTGCCCTTCAGCTGCGGCGTTCCGATCAAACAAAGCAAAAATATCCAAAACGTAACAGCACCATCACTTGTCATATCCTGCAAAAGTCAAACAACGAATTCGTTCAATGTCCACAATCTGATTACAAATCACAAATTCACAAATACAAAGTCAAACACAATGGACAATGGAACGCGAAAAATACCTCAAATGCGCAAAACTGAGCAAATGGGCAAACTCGCTAACGGAAAATGTCGAAATATAGAAATGTGGAAATGTTGAAATATAGAAATGTGGAAATGGGAAACCGAAACGTGCCTCAAGCGACATTTTATGTGTCCAGCACTTTTGTTTTGTTTTTGGTTCTTTTTTCTCGTTTTTTTTTTTTTTTTTTTTTTTTTTTATGACTCGCCTCGGCTATGTTTACAGCTAACGCAAGCAATTTCTCGTTTTTGGCACACATACACCCGCACACGCACTCACACACCCTGATTCTAAGGTGTGGGCATCTCAGATTTTTCGACTATTTCATATTTTTCGTTTTGCGCTTAACAGATTCCTTGTCAATTTTAGGGGTGCGCATCACGCGTCCCGGTCAGAGTTTGAGAGTGTTATTTCAATTTGTTTTTTTTTTTGTGTTGTTAAAGGTATTTTATATATATTAGATAGTGATATTAGATATCACTTATACATGGGTAGAGGATTTTTTAGTTGTTGCCAATGATATACAGTAGATTATTGATAATTCGAAATGACACAGATATTAAAATCATCGAGAATTATTGAGAACGAATTTCTTTCAGGGGGATCGAATTTTTCTCGATTTATCGCGATTTTCTATTTAGCGGGGTACAAATATTGCTCATGTATGTTTTTGTATTTTACTTATTTTTCTTTATATTTATATGTGTTTACTACTACAATTTATTATAATTTTATTTTACAACTTTTATATCATATTATATTCTATTTTATTTAACTTTAAAGACACGCTATATGCGCTTTAAGTAGGACTATTATACACAGCTCTGGTATGCAAATCATTGTTATTCACCAATGTTAGTTTGTTGACCTCCCTTTAATCATTTGAATTTAATTATACAATCGATTGCTCTTATATTATTTAAGACAGCTCATTTATTTCAGTACACAGGCAATGCTACATAAGGGCTAAATTCGGATAGTAAACGTTACCTATTATAAACGAAAAGTACAGGAGAAAGTAATTTGTATATGTATGTAATTTCCGTGTAAGTGAAGGCCTAGAGGTAAGGCACAGGCAAATACATAATATAATATCATATAATATTTATGTATTTACATATGTAACAATTATTGTGTATATAATTATAGTTAACTGTAATCAATAGAATGAGAGTTTTTTTTTTTTTTTTGAATATAATAATATAATAACTTAAACAACTTTATACAACTTCAAATTACTGTATCTACTTAATTGACTCTTAATCATTCGCGTATATGTCTTGCCCTATAAATGTATTTCTTTATTCATGTTGCCATCCTGTGTATTGCCATAAGATTGTGTAATCAGAATGCCAAACCGCTCGACACAGCTCAGCATGCAATTTCACAAAAATAAATTTAATTGTTGTTTTTGCAGCTAAATTTAATGCAATCAGATTGCTACGTTTCAGTTCCAATGGCTATAACTATTTTTGCGCTCGCTTTTAGCGAAATGCTTTAACACGCCTGTCAACAGTACTCAGGGCTATAATTTAGCAAACTTATATATAGATAGCTGGCAAATGACAGCTGTGACAATCGTTGATTACTTTTGGAGTGCATGACCTTGTGTGTATCAGATTTCAATTGGCTTTTAACAAACTTTTCATACTTTAACCCTATGTTTACTTTGCAGACTGAATTCTTTCATAAGTTGATTGAAACTTTTTTTTCTTTTTGAGCCAATGGGGTGTAAGGGAATTGTTGAGAATATAATAAGAAATGTAAGAAAGTTTTTACTCTCATTAATTATATAAGTTCTTACTCAGCAATATAATAGAACAGTTGCGAATATGTGTATTATATATCCAATTAAAAAGAGAATGTGACTAAATTTATAAACATTTTTAAAATGTATTATAGGAATAGTGGATTGATAGAGACTACATATTAAATAAATGACAGTATAGTAGAGAATCATATACAATACAATTAAGTATATTCCTTGCTATATCTCCATTAGTCCATTCTAAAAAATTCATTCACATTCTCATTTGACTTTTCTTTTATCATCTATATATTATATTATAGCGTATGTATATCCATCATATAAATATAATCTTTGCTCATATATTTATAATATATTTATCCACATACATAGTTATATATTCCCTTCCATTATATTTTAGTCCATTCAGTATTTGCATTAAAATTCGATAAGACGAAATTGATATACTGTGTTCTCTTATTTTTTTCTTTTCTTGGTTTTTGTTTTTTTTTTGCTTGTTTTCAGGTTGCTTGTCTGCTTGTCATGTCGTTCTATTTTATCTTAAGGTCAACCGTTAGCTAAGACCAATTTCATTTTATCCTTAAATAGTTCTGATTTGATTGCCAGTTTTCTATTTTAGTGTTGATTTGGAAGCTTTTAAGCTTTAGTTCAACTGACGTTTGTGGCAACAAATAAATAAATAATTAGATTCTATTTCTTATATACGTATTTGTTTTTGTCTCCTTTTTTCGTGTATCTTCATCTCTATCTCTGTCCCTCTCTCTCTCTCTCTGTCTAACTCTTCACTTCTCTCTTTTACTCTCGTTCAGCAAGGTCATTTTGTTTGACGTTTCGTTTTATAGCTTTAACCTCCCTCCACCCCCAGGCACTCACACACATACACACGCACACACAAACACATACCGCAATCGTCTTGTTATAAACTTCAGCAAGCGATTGCTTATGAAAAAATAAAGAAAGGAAAAAAAAGAAAATGTTTTTCCACAGCCTCATGAGGCGGCGGCTGTCGAATCAGTTGCGTAGCGACACGCTCATTGCGCGCTTGTGTGCGTCTGTGTGTGTGTGTGTGTGTGCGAGGTAGATACAGATAGGCACATAAAGAGACACACACACACAGACACATATACAGAAAGACCCTTCCAAAAGGCACGCACGTGTAGCAGGCAATACAGTAAAAGCCCAATAATTGAAACATTTAATGATGCCAATTGGCCTTAAGTTCCATTGCACATAAATAATTAAATATACTTCAAAATTCAACTCTACTTATATTGATATTGTGCCGAACTAAAACTGAGCTAAATTAAGCCTTTTTAAAATATTAAAAACATTTAGGTAAAAGTAAAATATATTGAAATTTCAATATTTTTAAGATAGCTACAAAGAAACCAAAGTGTTTGCCCAATAGACCTTTCTAGAAATATGTCCATGTAATGAATTCTGTAGTTTACCATGTATATACAGTATTAATAATTTTATAAAATATGTAAATAAAATAAATCGCAAGTAACTTGTCAACAAGTATTTATATTTACTAAGTCTTACTATATTAATAGACTAATATTTAGTATAATTCGTAAACCAACAATATGTTTATATACATACTTATGTCTATATAGATATTTATATTTCATAAAACTGTCACATCTATGGCTATTTACTGTACAGGTGGCATTGCTCTTTTTGGCACATAAAATAACTAATTACGAAATTGCCAACATAATTTTAATGAAAATTGCAATTTCATATAATGTGTATTAAAGTGTGACATGTGCGTGTGCTTTACTGTACAGGTGACATTGCGTGCGTGCGCTTGGCTGAGTGGCATAGTGCTCCAAGGTAGATGACATTATTCTGCAATGGCCGCCCTCCAATCTGTGGGCAAAATGATTTGCGAAGCGCGCGCCCCCAAATGTAGGCAATATTTTTTTAATGCGCGCACCGCACACAGCATGCGACGCGTGTGCCCTGATAGGTAGGCAACATTATTTTGCGCGGCGATTATCGGCAAAACTGCGCTGGCTGACTGAGTGAGGCGTTAATCAGCAAAAGCGGTAGACGCATTGCTTTGACACCTTTATAAGTGAGTTGTTGTTGTTGTTGTTGTTGTTGTTGCTGTTGTGCCTGGTTGCTGGTGGGCAACTTCCGCTGACCTAGATTCACCACACACACACCCACACACACACACTCGCACACACGCTGAATAATTACGCGAGCATTGCGATTGTGACTGAGACCGCGTTTTTGCCACTTAAACACTTGAGTGCACGAAGCACACGACTGTTGTCCGTCCCCGCTTTAGCTGCCACACCTGCTTACACACCTGATCCCCTTGCACACACACACAGACGCTCTCGGTCTCACTCTCTCTCTCTCTCTCTCTCTCTCACCCCCTCTCTCTCACTCTTTTGCATGCCCTAAAACGTCTCGCTTCACATCAGTTCACACTTAACTTGATTCAATTTCACTTACTTTTGCGTATGCCGTTCAAATATGTGATGCGATTTTCTGGCTGTTGTTGATGGGTTTTGTTGTTATTGCTATTGTTGTCGTTGTTGTTGCTGTTGATAGTATTGTGCTGCTGCTGCCTCTGCTGCTGCTGTTGCTGTTGATGGCTTGGCCCGGCTCTTCAATTGTTTCATAAGACACACAAGAACTCTGCTTTTCTGCTTTCTTCTTTTCTATTCGTTTTTTTTTTTTTTTTTTGTTGCTTTGTCGGCTAGGCCAAAACTCAATGTTTGTTGTTGTTGTTGTGGCGGCTTTGTTGATGTTGTTGTATTGTTTGATGACTGTGCATTACAATCGATAATCCCATGCACAAATGCAGCTCAGTGCAACGGCATTGGCGTAAATCCATTTTAATGAAATGCCGTAAGCCTCACAGATTATCCATTTAAATGATGTTTATTAGTTGATGCTGTTCTACAATTTGTTGTAATGTCTCTATCAGTTGCTGTTGTTGTTGCTGTTTTTGTCGTTCTTGCTGCGCTTGTTGTTGTTTACGGTTGTTGTTGTTGTTATAGCTGCTGCACTGTCAGCAAACAACAACAACACGAGCATCGACAGCCGTCGGGGCGTGGAGCTTTATGCCAAAAAGGAAAAAAAAAATAAAAGAAAAAAAAAAAC